AAACAAGTTAAAAAAGAAATACGTATACAGCACAATATTAATTTGTCTATATACTTTTGTCCATTACTGTATGTATATACATACAAAAACAAACAATAAAATGACAAGCAACAACAAACAATAGCTAAAATTGAATATCAAAAAAGGACACATAGGTAAACAACACCAGATAGTAGATTATCTTTCCAGCAGTTAAAATTAACAAAAATATACTATAAAGATATATAAAAGGACAAACAATAACTGGACAACTAACAATACCAAAAAGAGAACTTCTTAATATTCACAAAATCGCTGATGGCGTAGCAACTCTTATCAAAATTAATAAGACTTGCTACTTGTTTTCAACTCAGCTTGAGAATTACGCTAATTGCCTTAATGTACTCGGGCAGCTTATTGAATACTTTTGGACCTAAAAGAGATGGAGTTATATCGAGCAAAGGATAGAATGAATGTATGTATACTACTCTAGTCAAAGTGAAATAATCTCTGTTATGTCTACATCCATACTAATAAACTTACGGCAACACACCTACGGGAAGAGTGGTATCGGTCAATTTCGCTGAATTTTTTATGTCATGTGTCTCGGTATCCAGAACAAATGTGTCAATAGGCACATGCCGCAACCTCAACGGGTCCCAAGATATAGCCCGTCCAAGTCTGTATAATGGGGTATCGACCCTAATCAAATATCTGCTTCAAGAGGAAGAGTGGTTTCAATTTCGCTGAATTTTTCATATGTTATGTATCTCAACAAATCGTTTGTTGGGACCAGGCCGTAAAACCAAACGGGCCCGCAGATAGTATAATGGGGTTACAGTTCTACTGGAATATCTGCTTTAAGTGGTTTCGGTCATTTTCGCTGAATTTCTCATTTGTTGTGTGCATTAGCATTCTCCACACATTCTATAAACATTTTCAGGGGCACAGGTTCCCAAATTCAACGGGTCCACTTGAGGTTAGGGTCCTGAACCCATTGAAATATTTGTTCGGGATGCATAACATATAAAAAATTCAGCGAAATTAACCGAAACCGTTATCCCATAGGCGTATTGCCGGGTCCTTTCTTGTATATTCAAACAACAGACACCTATCATTGAAGTAGAGGAACTGCAAACTGTAGCGATATGACTACAGTGTTCTTCATATAGGTCTCCCCTTATTTTTTGAACGGGTCAAGTTAGCAGTCTGAAATCGGGTTGTCGGGGTGATGGAATCACTGAATATAATAAACCTACATACTTTATTCTAAAATGGGGGACTTGCAAGCTGTCAAGGGTGTCCGTTTTGTACAACGAATTGCTTATGAGAAAACAACTAATAATCAAAACAGTTCTCAACTTTTACAAGGATCTATCTGAATACGCAATGAGATATGTAAAATTCCTTTTAAACAAAATCTCAGATTTTTATATTTTTTATGGAATTATATATTTTATTACATACTGGAACATATCCTTCCAAAACAAGCTGATAATAACGTACTAACGAGTTTTGTGATAGGGTATTAAGCTGGATACTTTGAAATATAGTCAACTTATATTCAAGGGCTATTAAATGCGTATACGAGAAAGGATCTTTAAGATCATACGACTAGCAAATGGCACCATCTCGAAATTCAGCTGTCACTTTCTTCCTATAATATGGTATTTATACAAACACATTTCACCACAGCAAACTTCAGCTTGCTGATATTACCCGTAGGGGTGTTACGTAACTTTAAAAGTGACATTATAATGTTTTTTTTTGACATTATTTAGCTTTTCCCACAAGAGGTCAACTTGAAACTAACTGTCGTTCACTTCATTCTTACTTGTAGCAAGCACGAAATAAACTATCTGCACATTAGCCTTCTTAATAAAAAATTTGACATTTTATCGGTATTTTTGACGTTATATGGGGCTTTTACGTAATAACCCTGTGGATCAGAAATTTATTAGGTGGGGAATATTATGGAAAGTAATGGATTAGATTTCAACTCACACACTCCATAACGTTCTACTGATGACGAACTAGCTGCAGTTTCGAATTCAACGAAAACAAAAGTGAAGTTATAAGTCCTGTAAGTTTTCCGACTTCAGGAAGCGCAAGAGGCCACTAATCACCGGATAATCACCACTGTTTCCCATCCACGTGTAAGTGGTGATTTTCCAGTGGCCAAACGGGTATTACACGGCGCGAATCGGAATTTTACCGGCTACAAAGCCACCAATGACAAAGGCCTTGCATCCTCATAAGAAAAGAATAATAACAACGTGGAGTAGCACTCCCGCCACCTGGAATATACGTAAATGTATATCTTGTAATGGGCCGGCAATTCGTCGCGCAAGAATTGCGGATGTGAATGAGGGTGCCCAAACCGTCGTGGATGTTATTGATAACCCGGAACGAATTGGCGACCGACGGTTTCATCTTTTTTATGCCAAAGCGGGAATCCCTGACTTTTTTCAATGCCAGGGGATTAAGAAGTTTTGAAATACAGAAGCGGGTTTGGGCACTGTGCCTGCTCATGGTATACTCATTGACAAAGAAAATAGAACACCCTGTAAAATGATATCGTTTAAATAAAATTCTGTATATAGTTAGACATGAGTAACTCGCGACTAAATGTTGCAGTGAAAACTCGCTGTATCGCTGGACTTCCCTTATAATGATTGGTTCCAATGCCATATAAATTCCACCAGCTCCTGAGGAGACGATGTATCTCTTCTTGATGTATCTCATCTCAAGCTGGCTGTACTTGCTTCCGAAAATTCCTAGTTTATGGAATGTGAGGAAAAGATGCCACTCGTCTTCCCATGATATCCCAACTATATTCAGTGGGTGAAAGGCCTCAAGATCTAAGAGGCCAACGTTTATTGAGGCAGCTCATTGTAGCTTCAGCAATATCGAAACGGGGATTATCTTATTGGAAAATTGGAGACACGAGCATTTTGGAAAATAGCAGAAACAGATATTGCATCTCAAAACCTCTAATGGAAACCCGTCACTCAACACCATACGTATTAGCGTTCCAAACCACAGCTTCTACAGTATGGTACAACCGAAAATTCACTGAAACCGAGGAAATTGGAATGATGACTGGTAAACGAAGAACGAAACATTGTTTGTAGTGGCGAGCCTTGGTGGTATATATCTCTTGTTTTCATTGGAGAAAGTATAACCGCGCAACGGTTTATCCAGAGAAAACTGAAACCCATGTTGCTACAAATGAACTATCTCTCTAACTAACGCTTAGGGCAGAACTTTTCCTAGCCCTTCTACAGGGTGGGGCAGAGGAACTTGATGATTTGAATTGAGCTCCCTAAAGTGACGGTTACTCCGACAGAACTGGGGATAGGTATATTCGAGAGAGTGATACGTAAAGTTTTTGCGCCGCGTGGTGTAGTCACTATCATGAAGTGGACGAAGGTAGGTTCTGTTATAAGTAAAGTGATGGAGAGGTGCATAAATCGCGAGCTTCTGGACTACCTCAAACGTCACAGCTTGATTAGCGACAGGCAGTACGGTTTCCGGCACCAACGATCCACAGGGGACCTCCTAGCTTACGTCACGCAGCTGTGGAGTAGACTCATCCAGTCTCATGGTGAGGCTCATGTCGTTGCTCTTGACATCACGAAAGCGTTCGATCAGCTGTGGCACGCTGCCCTCTTGAGCAAACTTCCATCCTACGGCCTCCCAGAAAAGCTTTGCAGATGGGTGGCTGACTTTATCTCTGGCCGCAAGATATCCGTCGTAATTGACGGATTCTCCTCTTCATCCCACAACGTCAACGCGGGTGTTCCCCAGGGATCGGTCTTGGCTCCAACACTGTTTCTCTTACATATCAACGACCTCCTTTCCTGCACGATCAACCCAATCCACAGCTTCGCTGATGACAGCACTCTACATGCAGGAATTCAGAGTGACAAGCCGAGCTCTGCCGCTGAGCTGGAAAAAAGAAGACTAGCGACGACTTCTTCTCTGACAAGAGACCTGGAGGCTATCACTGCTTGGGGACGCAACAATCTTGTACAGTTCAATGCTTCCAAAACACAGTACTGTACTTTGACGAACAAAAAGCGTCCTAGCGCTCATACAGTTTCGATGGACGGTCGAGTTCTACCAAAGAGCCATTCATTTCGGCTGGTCGGAGTCCAGATCACCGAGGACCTCATCTGGCACGAACACATCTCTTCAATAGCTGCAGCTGCTGGGAAAAAGCTAGGCTATTTGTTTAGGGCTAAGAAGTATTTTTCTCCGCATGATCTTCTCACTCTATACAAGGCCCAGATAAGGCCTAGCCTCGAGTATTGCTCACACATTTGGGGTGCTGCCGCCCCGACTACATTGTCCATGCTCGATGCTGTCCAGAGGAGGGCGGTCCGACTGATCGATGACTCTTCTCTAACAGACAGTCTCGGGACTCTTTCGCACCGGCGGGCCGTCGGCGATCTAGCTCTTTTCTATCGCTACACCAACGGGCTTTGCTCCTCAGAGCTCTCTTCCATGATGCCGCCGCGCGATGTGCCTGCCAGACAGACCCGCCTGACTTCGGCGTCGCATCCTAACCGTGTCAAACTTCGTACATCCAGAACTGGCCGATACGACCGCTCCTTTGTCCCGAGGGTGTCTAGATTGTGGAACAAACTACGGGAGGAAGCTTTTCCCAGTTCTACTAACCTTAGGCAGTTCAAAAATCGTATTAACAAAATTTCTTTGGGATCATCATAGCAGCCGCGGTGTTCCGGCATTTAGGCTTCTGCCTGCGCGGCTGTTTCGATATATAAAAAAAAAAAAGAACGCGCGTTCGACGTCGAGGCCTACTTTTCTAATGGTCGTTCGATCATAGCCACGCAACGTGCATTCCGGACTAATTTCTTGAGTTTTTCCTTCCTAGACTTAATGAGATGGATCTGAGAGACGTATGGTTCCAGCAGGACGGTGCCACGGCTCATACAGCGCGCGCATCAATTACTTGTTTGCGGAAATCCTTCCCTGGACGCATTATTTCTTTAAGAGGCGATCTGCAGTGGCCAGCCCAATCGCCTGACTTAGCCCTCTCCGATTTTTTTATGGGGATATCTTAAAGCACAGGTGCTCAACAATCATCCCACGACTCTGGCTGACCTGAAAAATAATATTGGTATGACTATCGGAGACATACATAACGATATGCTGGACAGAGTTGTCCTACACTTCAAAAAGCGATTAACACAGTGACTTTAAAATAATGGACGTCATTTATCTGACATCATATTTAAAACTGTGTAGAGTCAAACTTTAAATGATGTAAGTGATGATGGAAGAATAATTAAATTGATATTTGTATAACTTCTTGTTTTATTGAATTGCTAAATCAGCAAGTTCCTCTGACCCACCATGTAGATCTACAAACCTTCCGCGCGTTGAACATGTGTGGGATATGATGAGATAAGGAGTATCCTATTTACCTCATTCACAAGCTTTTTGGAACCGAGTAAAGCTAGCTTGGAACGAGATACAACAATAAAGCTTCAATCACCGCCTCGGCGCACGTCCCGACGACTGAACGAGTGTATTCAATACATTATTAATGAAATCGAGCGCTACAGCAAATGCTCTCTCTTCAAAATTAAATCACAGCCTCGTATTACCACTCAGATAAAATCGGCAGTACCGTCTGAGTAAAAAACGGAGAAAATGTACTTTTTTCCGGTCCAGCTTTTTTCTCAGTCTCAGAAGGATTAAGGCAGTTTTTTGACAACTAACAGAATGGCGTATCTAATGATGACTAACAGTATCGATATAATTTCACAGAGATTGTAGCTAACAACTTTTGAGATTAAGCTTTCAATTTTTGAAATGTCTTCTATCATTATCTGATTAGTTTATTTCGCATCGGAATTTTGTACGGAAATTTTTATTTACGTATTAGCACCTTGAAGATTGTCATTCCTACATTATCGAAAACTATAATTTTAACTCGGAAACGGCCAATTCAAAAAGATACTTTTCACCTTTTTTAGAATGGGTGAAAAAATTTAAATAATGTGGGAGGAGAGGGTGACAGATGGAGAGGGGTGAGAGGTTTCAAATGCTTAATCTTTTTTTTAATCCTGATCAATCAATATTTAGAAACAACGTGCAGGATCTTTTATACTATTTTAAATAAAATGAAGGTTGGATTGCTGAAATTTGATGTTAAGCAGTCAAATTAATTGACAATGAGCTTAAGAATCCAAAATGTTTGATTCCCTTGAAAAGCGTGAATAACGCATAATAAATATCAGTGATACCAGACATAACGAAATAAGGGATCAACGTGAGTAGGAAGGACAACTATTTTAGGGACATGATAATTGTTCACAAAAGATCATTATTTGAGCTGCCATTAAAGGGTGCAGGTCTTTTTGGCGGTCTCTGAAATCAAACATTAACCAATAGGATTGGAATCCCGTAAAGCATTCACTACAAGAAATACTTCACATACAAGTAAATACATTTTTAAAGATATAAAAAAGCCGACTAAAATAACTGAAATAAATGAAGTTTTAGTTGTGCTATCAAATATCGAAATCTATTCAGCTATAGTTCGTGCAATTTTGGGTTAAAAATTTGTTATTTCGATTTTATGATATTTTAACATATCCAAATTGTTACTCGCTTTTCAAGACAAATCTAGACATTTCATATGTTAAGATCCATCTAGCCATATGCGGACTCATAGGACGTGAAATAGAAATTTCAAAGTTGAAATTCTCGATTACAGTCAGTCATTTTGATTTATTATCAAATTTTAATATACCAAGTGGCACTCGAACTGCCACACTGTGATCAGGCCATTTGAATAGAATTTTTTGTCTAAATATATACTCACGCGCCAAAAAAAGATAATATTACATGGTATCAAAGCTTACAACGTTTTTGTAAAATTCATTGCTTCCTGAAATCCACCATCCTGTATACACTAAAATATTATGATATACGAATTGCACATGTTTGAAGATTTTTCAAACAATACCCAAGTTAAAAGATTTTATTCTCCTGTCTAAGAAATTTAGAAAACTATACATTTCTAAGGACACTTCACTTGCTTCTGCATATACGAACAAAAGTCGCTGTTCATCCTATGTCACCTTTCAAATAACCTTTTCCAAAACAACAATAGAAAACGTGAAACAGCCATCTGTCTAATTTCGCTTTTATGCTAAACTCTAAGTAGACCTCCAAGTTGGTACATCTTCCAATTTTGTCATCACGCTAGCCTACTTTATTTTTGACAGGCTTTGTTACCTTTATTTCAAAGAGAATAGTACAATTGTGCAGTTAACTCCAGGTATTTTCTGTGACGCCTGGGTGTGCAAGGTGTTACAGTTCCTTTTTGTCCAGCAATTATGGCTGGCGAACAAGAAATTATAATCGTAGATTTGTGGAATATGCCTTTTGAGATTGGAAATTGATTAAATTTGTGGTATGTTATCTTTTTTTAGATGTACTGTAATATTTATATACAATGCTTTTCCCTCCCTCTACTTATTTTTTGAATGGGTCAAGTTCGCAAGTTGATATACGGGGTGATGCAATAATTGATATATAAATACTATATTTTAGCGTAGCAGATGAAAATTTCATAATGGCGGCTTGGCTCTGCTTTGGAACATTTTTCTAGATCGATCTGTAGATCTGAGAAGGACAAGGAAAAAAGCGGACTTAAGCCTTACTAAAGCAGTTCATTGTAGCAACCAGCAATATGGGGACATGTATCTTGTTGGAAAATGAGGTTGACAAGCGTTTGGAAAAATGGCAAAAATGAGACATCAGTAAATTCTTGAGATATCTCTTCCCAAGCTCGATGTACTTGATTCCGTAGACCTGCCAGCGTTGGTTTAGGATGGCATGAACATCCAGGAGGGCAAGGCAGGAGGCTGACTTGACCGTTATTGAGATAGTTTACTATAGATCTAGCAATACCGGTTCGACCATTAACTTGTTGGAAAATAGGGCTCTCAAGCGTTTGGAGAAAATATACAAAAAGAGATTACAGAATTTGCTGAATGTAATGTTGTGCCGTCACACCTCCTACAATGAAGCCTAGAGAAGACCATATGTAAAGGCGCCCCACGCCATATTCCCTTCAGTATGGTGCACATGACGTTCAAATAAAAACTCACATTGTCTTTTCTCGCGTCGCCTTCCACCTTCTGTTTATTCATCATTCATTGTTCAACAGAACCAAATCACTAAAAACAATGTTACACCTTTCACCTTTTACATACAGCATCATCACATCTTTCCTAGGAATTAGCTTCTTTCAATCGTAGTTCTACCTAGAATGTGTTGATGATTCCTAATGAGGATAAAATGACATCGTAAATGCTTGGTTGGATGAACGGAAGCAGCCTTCACTTTTCCACCTTAGAGAATTATGTGTTTGACATGAGCCGCAGAGGTGTTACGTATATTGAAAAGTGACATTATGTATTTTTTTACAAATGTTTCAATCAATAGAAAGATGTATACTAAGTGACATATAAATCCGAACACCCAGTTTAAATGGTTTTATTTTAATAAAATTTTGTATAAGTACTTAATGAAGCATAATAAGTAAATGATAAAAATTTCAAAATGATTGCACTGCTTTAAAGCCCTTTGGCCTTTAATAATGTGTGGATGCACCCTGATCTGCTACGTATTCTCCAACGCGCCTAGGCATGCTTCTGATCAGGTGGTCAATGTCCTCCTGTGGTATCTCATTCCAGGCAACCACCAACTCCTCTCGAAGTGCTTCTAGAGTCTGAGGAGGACGTTGCAAATTGAGCAATCTCCTATCCATCATATCCCACACGTGCTCAATTGGGGATAGATAAGTCGGGAGATCTTGGTGGCCATGGTAACAATGTGACATCATTATGTTGAAAGAAGTCTATTGTGACTCTTGCAACATGTCGTCGGGCATTATCTTGTTGGAAAGTTGGATCTGCCAGGGTGTCAAGATAGGGTAAAAGATGGGGTTCTAGAACTTCGTGGATATAACGCTGCGCGTTCATGTTACCTCTGATGAAGATTAAAGGTGACCTGGAACCATAAGCTATAGCACCCCAAACCATAACTCCAACAGTGTGATGAACATGTCTTTCAACAAAAAACTGTGGATTCCTCCTTTCACCACGTCGCCTTCTAACACTGGCACGACCATCGTGCATGCCTAAACGAAATTGAGACTCGTCACTGTTCCATTCCTGATCCCAGAGAGACCGTTGTCTGCACCACTCAAGGCGATTACGTCGGTGTTCTCGAGTTAAAGGGAGGACCCAGTGTGGCCGGTATGAAAACAAGCCAAAACTTCTCATTCGTCGGTAAACACTTCGCATGTCAATAGGTCTTCCGTGTTCTGCAAACCATTCATTTGCAATGGACCTGGTAGTGGAGAAACGGTCCCTTAAGGCCAATAATCTTAGGCGGCGGTCTGTTGTTCTACGGCGGCGTCCAGTGCCCCTTGCTCTTTGCGTACGGCCTTCTCGAAGCCATGCCTGACAACACCTAACCACAGTGTCTACACTTCTTTGCACTCTAACTGCAATTGCCCGAAAAGAAAGTCCAGCTTCCCGAAGTCCCACTATACGGCCCCTATCAAACTCACTAAGTTGACGAAATCGTACAGGTCTCCGTACTCTAGGCATCGTAACCGATCGTAAAGGATGTCAAGAACCAAAATCCGCCAACGTTGATTCTTTACTGCGGCTGAAATATTCATTTTTAGAGCGTTAGTGAATAAAAAAAAGCAGTATAAAAACCGGAATGTCCAACTGATAAGGCTGAAAATTTTCTCACTTGTTATTTACAGTAAGATAAATACATTCACCAACTTTTATTAAAATAAAACCATTTAAGCTGGGTGTTCGGATTTATATGTCACTTAGTATACATGGGTCAGTCGTATGTTGGAATGTGTTTCAAAATCAAAACAAAAAAGTTGAAAGAAACTTAAAGAAAAACATATCAAAGAGGTGGTTGTATATGTAGACAATTTTTAAGGAATATTTGGTAGAAATTCAATAATGTGTGGTCTTCCTATTGCGCGTAACCATTCTGATAATTTCGTTTTAAAATTATGTGTATTTCGAAATTGTTTTAAGTCTTTCGGTATGTGTTCATATAATGCTGGAGCCAAATAGAGAAAATATCGCTTCATTATGGTTTTATAAGGTTTAGAGACAGTTTTTGCTCGTGATTTATATCGTGTATCATGGCAATGTGGGATTTTATCGCGCTCACAACAACTTTTGTTTCGTTATATAAATCATTTGTTGAATATAATTCTGGTTTTTCGAACATAATTTTTAAAACAGTTCTCTGTAAAACTTCTATGTCGTTTAAGTACACTGAACATGCTTTACACCATGCTTACCATACATTAGGTGCGGCTCAATTAAGGCATGATTTATAGTACGCATATAATGTTCTGTCAGGAATTTAATTTGGTATGTAACAAATCTTATTTTCTTCAAAATGTAGGATACATGAATTTCCCACCTAAAATGTTGGTCTCAAAAAATTCCTAAATATTTGGTATTGTCCACACAGGAAATATTTGAATAATCGAGTAGATGTCTTGCGTATGATGTAAAAGGTAGAAAATGCGTTTTTCGAAAGTTCACTGTTAGTTTTCTTGTGTTACAAAAATGAATGATTTTATAAAAGTCATTCTCAATTATTCTATTTGCATCATACCAGTCTTGCAATTTATATAGTATTGCCGTATCATCGGCAAAACTATTTTACCTACACAGTTAATATTGAATATATCATTCGAATAGATATTAAATAAACTATACCCTGATGTACACCTCATTTGACAGACATTTCCTTACTGTATGATTTTGTTAGTTTTACTACTTGGGGCCTTTTTGACAAAAACTTTGCATCAAAGAATATATTTTCCCACGAAAACCTAATATGTCTAAAATATTTAACAGTAAACTATGATTAACTGTATCGAATGCCTTTTTCAGATCGACAAATACACAAATAGATGGAATTTTTACTAGACTTATGGTAGTATACCATCTGTGGTAGATTTTCCTGTTACAAAACTGTATTGATTTGGACTTAGTATTTTGAATTTATCAACGAAATTTATTATCTTACTAGAGAATAATTTTTCGAATACCTTAGCCAAAGTCGATATTATCGCCTATTTTATAGATAAGAATGATAACAACTTCTTGAGCATCGACTTCGGTCAGCACAAATGGTGCGTAGTGAGAATTGGTGTTCTAGTATAATAATCTGTGTTGATAATAACTCCATTAATTTTTTGTCTCAAATACACTTCCTTGACATGTATGCAAATCTAGAAATGAGTTACGCATCCACATTTTTTTATTTATTTTGCAAGTTACATGTGCAAATTTGCTGAATTTCAAAAATGAGGGAGATGAGAAAAGAAAATCCTTGGTTGATTGATATTAAAACCAACAGGTGAAAAAATATGCCACAGTCAGGAATATCCATGGAAAGTGAAAAAGTTATTACATTTTACATTGTTGTTCTTTATTTCCAGTCATTTAAATTTTATATAAATTTATTTTGCTATGTCAAGAGGAAAACACAAACAATGTGATGTTGCTTAATTACACACAATGCGGGCAAGGTGGTGATGTCTTGTAATGATTCTCAAAATTTTTGAAAACGCAAAAAACGGGGAAAAATGTAGTTTATAACTTTGAAGAAAACCTCCCTCAATAGAGGACAACATAAATAACCCGTCAGCTAATAGATATACTGGATAGGCAGCATATTCACTCATAAGTTTGTCACAGTAAATATCACTGATTTTATACACGCATTCCAATACACACGATCAACAAAATCATCCAGATGCTATCTTGTAATCAGCTACTCAACCAATCTATTTTCTGCGACATCTTCTCACAGATATACCTATTCTACAGACATTCTGCAGCCAACAAACCTTGGTGGTCATTAAGCGTGTTGTTGAGTCATTCCTCTGCAGATGACGCTTTTGGTAATGCTCACAGCGAGCAATAGCGGAATGAATTATTTGCACATTACACTAATAACTATCTAGTCAGCAAGTTGACATTTTGTCGTTTTTTTTGACCTTAGGTTTTTTATGTAGTAACCCTGCTGATCCGTTGGCAGAATGAGATTGTCATTGAATATTTAACCTCTCAGCGCTCCGTATACTGAATACCAATGGCGTAATGGTAAATTACTTTAACTACAGAAATTCAGTGGCTTTTTGCGTCTATAAAATTTTCGCAGGATCAAAGCGTATGGATACTCCAAGCTTTTTCGTGATTTATCTGACCTACTTAACAACGTGCCAAGAAGGTATAATGCATTTTAAATTACATATACAATAAAACGCATAAATGCTCGCTCTCCGCCAGCTGAAAGCGCAGATTACATTTCACTTAACCTTCTTTGGAGAGTGGCGTTATGAACGGGAGCTGTTAAATCTGCATGACTTTTTGTTTTTCGCACTACCGTCCGTTCTTCAGATCGATTACGTGGACGGTTTTGGGTTAATTTGCTGCGCTTTCTCACGGTTCTGGGTATAATTGCTGGCGAGTGCTCCGCGAGGGCACGGATGGAAATGTGACGCTCTTCGAAGTAATCGGAACTCTCGTCGAAGTCGGAGGGGCAGATTTTTGAGAGCTTGCCTACAGGGTCTAAAGCCTAGAACACAAAGTATTGTTTATTGATTTACATCAAAAGCACTACATGATGATCTAAAATTAAACCTTGAACTCTGTCGGTAGCAATAATCCACCAAACAAATAGTCAAATTCGAATTCCGAGTATCGGGTACTCGGACGAGTAATCGGCAAACTGATGTACGGTTGGTGATATTAAGATTGTATTTGCGTTTTGAAAGGCCCTTTATTTTTGAAATTGATTCACTTTTACAAGAAACTAACGCATCACAATATAAGTTGTGAAGCTTAGACAATTTCGTGGCAAGTATAGCTTCGTGGTTTAATATATATTTGGTATTTTCAAATGCTAAAATGCTTAGGAACAGCTAGGTATATGTTTCTAATATGGAATTCAGCAGCTATAATGTTGAACTAGTATTGAAACCATATTTTGAGACATTTTTAAACAGCTGATATACTCTTTAATTCTTCCGATTTCAAGAAAATCACAATTGTGAGATATTCAAAAGGGATACAGTCAACATCTTAAGCCTAGTTCTTTATTGAGCAATGCCTTAAGCTGATCAAATTTCGAAAGACCACATATCATAGAATCTCTACCATATCCTAGCCATCATCAAGGCTAGATTGAAATCCTACATGCTTGTATGCTGTCTGTTAAAGGCTACACAAAAATAACTCCCTGTCTCAGCAGGATCAATTCTAATTGGGTAAGAACTAAACAAAAATTATCTCTACGTACATTTGAGTAAAGGTTTTCTTTGCTGAAATGCCATCATTTACGTTAGTTTTCGACTTTTGCTTCTTTTTGTTTACGTTGTTTTGTAGTTTTTGCTGTTTTTCTGAGTGTTCATACGAAAAGTAGGGGAGAAAAAATGCAATATGGTTTCAGTTTAACCGATATGGTAGCCACTACCTTTTATAAAATAAGTTCAGCAGCAACATCTTGCATAGAAAAAATCAGCTATTCAAATACTGTAAATACACCAGCTCACTGGAGCAGACATTTACTGAGAACTCATCCAAATTAGGTAAATTATTCAGCATAAATATGCTGTAACTTTGACTTTTTCTTTGAATGTGCGTTAATGTCTTAGGGTACATATCATGAAGGTTTGGGAAAAGTGTTTTGTATTACATAGATGCAATTTTTTGATTTTTTGCCATCAGACCGGGTAACTACTCGGTGGGTACTCGATAAAATAGGCCGAGTACTACTCGGTGCATCTCTAGAAGATATCTTAAGCCAGCATCAAAGCCTCTTCCGATCCAGAAAAAGGGGGAATTCTGAAAACAAGATCAGTGAAAAGGAGAATCATAGATAATTTTAGGATTTCAAAACCCTCCATTGAGAAATTCTACAAAATTACCCTACACTCATGGACAGAGAGACGCTCAAAAGGCTAGTCACAGACAGGGGGCTGTAAGCAGTATAAATGACTTTGAACCCTGCTCTGAGTGCCATGTGAAGAAAACGATCCCTACTAACTGTATTATCAAAAATGCATAGTTCTATCGCTGTGTGAAATGTCAAGAGCATTATTATTGGTTGTACAGAGTCAGAAGTGTCAAGAAATACCAAAACAAAAATTGCAGGATTTTCCCGGTGGTTAGGTTGTGTAATAATGGTGGAACAATAGCAGGCACTAAAAGGTGTTTTTGATGGTGCATTACTGTTTGTCTACAGGATAGAAAAAGTTTGCTATGCGAGCGGTTAAAAGCTAATTCAGAAGCAGAACGAACCTGGATGGTGGCCGTCTCGAACGCCTACGATTTGATACTGGAAGAGAGCGTTGGATGTCCACAGTTTAAATATCAATGCTTAAGCGATAATACAGTCAATTTAAGTAAACAATATGTAGCGATTTAAATTTTAGTAGAAAACTAGCCTTATTCGGGGTTTATCCTAGTAACAACATCATTTTGAATTTTGAGTGGAAGTTTTATGCCACTTTTCAGATTCTTAAAACCAAGGGACAATCAAACATATTTTTTTCTTAGAAATTTCAGAATGACAGCTTAAAACCGCTGCTGAAAACTCAGAAGTAATTCATATACAAATGAAATACATTGGTTTATGTCAAAACACACCTAGACAATATTAGTTCTATACAATCTGGAATTGACAGTACAAGAAACAGAGCAATGTTGGAGGTGCCGTCACATAGGTTGTCGGGAACGGACGAGAGTCCAAATACATGACAAACAATCTCTTCAACTGACATTGATCTAAAGGTAGTAGTCGGTGACGGTGAAGGATAAAAAACTAAAACTAAAGTTATACGTTAGCAATATAATGGGCAGTATTTCATTTTGTTAGGTTGGCTAACATTGCTCGTTTGAATCGACGAAACAGAGCCGCCTTGCAAGTGAATGGACGCAATGGTCTTACGGACTGTAATACCCGCATTACAAAAATTTCTTCACGAGTTAATTCGATAAATTTCTTCAAAGCCATCGTGATTATTTTTTGCATCAATGGACAAACTCATAGATTGTCTATCAGTATACAGTGCTGCCAACCACACAACAAATTTTTATCAGAAATATTTTGAGTTTTTGTGTATTGTAGTTTTTGATTTTTGATCCTAAACAGAAAACTTATTATTGAATACTGTACTTCTATCAAAGTTCTTTACTTGGAAACTTGTTCAATATTATGCGAAGGAAAACAAGGTCGGCACCATGGAATTTGACGTCCAACTTGGCAAAAATTAGAACAATTTCTAATTTCGTGCAAAAATAGATTTATTTGACGTCAAATTCATGTTATACACTTTTGAGATTGGGCCATGAACTTACATAGTTCATGGAGAAATCCGTGGATGTATTGTCAGTATGAAACGGTAAGAAAGAAGATACATCGTATTGATCGTGGACGCTATTGTGGTTGTATAGTAATCAATTCATGTAAAAAACTTATCACTTATGGTAGGTTAGTTGTAATAACCTTCTTCAGATGGTGTCAAAAATACACAAGCGTGTATTATCTACATATATAATGTACTAATATAATTTGTGGTCACAAAACAGCTTCATCCAATGGCAAGATGCGGTGTGCTCATATTTAACACGTTCAACATCGAGCGCCCGCTCTAAGAACCGGCGTTTATATTCTGATTACCATGTTTAGGTACAAATACTGTGGAGATAATTACCTTGCATGGAGAGTTCTTGCATTCTTCGGTATTTCTTTGTGAGCAACTCTTCAGAGCCATGTGGTAACATAAGACCAGAAAACTGCTTACGGAAAAACACAAAAGTATCGTAGTCAGTAACATCAAAACAGCGTCGAAGATCTACGTGTTATAAACCGTGGTTACAAATCGATAATAACATTATTTGAAGGTCAAAAAAGTAACATGAAGAGCACATCTAACATGACAGTAAGAAAGTCACAAGTCACACCACTTTATTCTGTGGTGGTGACACTCAACGTAACGATCTGTCTTATCTGTCACATGAGAAAGCATTGGGAAATCACGATGTGCCCTACGATAAAAATTGGAAAGAGTATGAGAAAATGGTGTTACTAACCTGCGCTGCTGTAGGTGTGATGTTGTTTCTCTGTTATCAGGTATGATTATTGCTTTTGACTTACTGTTATAATGAATGAAAGTCATAGACCTTTCCAATGTGCACAAGACTATATTATAACTTATAAATTAACTGCTTACTATTTAAATGGCTGGAGAAATCCCACTATCAGTACTGATGTACGAATTACCCTTGTTGTACTGAGCCTATAAATACCCAAGCTATAGCAGGTGGCTAAAACCTTGATGCAAAAGGCCATAATCATTCTTGAATCCATATTAAGAACCGCCATTCTTACAACACTTGAACTGAATGCAGCATCTCACCTTTTTTTTAGAGATATAGATATTTATTTACTCCATCATAATTTGAATAATAATAACAACATACAATGGGCAAATCACTGTTTCAATTCGCAGAAGGTCAATTGCCTGTGCATAGATCTGTTGTATGTTGAAATGTGACATTAGTTGAAATAAATTTAAAGAAATATTTGTATCAAAGAGGTGTATATGTAGCAGATGGTAATTTTTAATGAACATTTGATAGGGGTTCAACATGTTGCCTTGCTATCATTCTTTTTTAAAATTGTCTTATGAGGCTTAGTGTCAGTTTTGCACTTAATTTATATCGAGTATCATGGCAATGTGTGATTTTATCGCGCTCGCTGACAACTTTGCGAGAATGGCTGATTGTATATAGCAAATAAGGTTGCATAATATCGAATAATTTTATTTCGTTGTATAAATCGTTTGTTGAATATAAGTTTGGTGTTAGGAACAATGTTTTTAAAACAGTTCTCTGTAAAGCTTCTATGTCGTTTGAATTCGCTGGACATGCTAAATAATATATGCTACCATAGATTAGGTGCGGCTCAATTAAGGCATGCATATACGCATATAATCTTCTGTCAACATGCATGTGAATAATTTGTATCTTACAAATCTTATTTTCCTCAATACGTAGACTGCATGGATATCCCACCTCAAAATGTTGGTGTAAAAAAATCCTAAATATTTGATTTTGCCCATCCTGTCATTTTTTAAATTCTTATTGTTTATTTTCACGGAAGGATTTCAATAATCGGGTAGACGTCTTGCGTATGCTGTGAGCGGTAGAAAATGTATTTTACAAAGTTCACGGTTAATTTTCTAGTAATGAGAAAATCAATAATTTTACAAAAGACTCTCTCTTTACATTATACTAGTCTTGCCTTTATATAGTATTGCCGTATCATCAGCAAAACTGACTATTTTACCTAAACAGTTAATTTTGAATGTACCACTCAAGTAGATATTAAATAAAAAAGGACCTGTACCCTAAGGTACGCCACATTTGACAAACATTTCGTTAGTGTATGATTTTGATAGTTAACTATCTAAGGCCTTTTTGATAAATAACTTGAATTAACATGTTGCGATGTTGGACTTTGACGTTACGACCATGATGAATTCACATTCTGCGTTAAGGATTTTATTACTTTCTTTAATTCTAGCATCAAAAGTATTAGTAGCTCTATTATAAGCCTTCACCTCTGATTCAACTGCTATGTTGCATCTTATTTAAAAAATCGCTTCGTGTTCCACCTCTATATTGTGCACTCGGAAACCATACCCTATTCAAGTGTATAAACTAAATATTTCAGGTCTTCCTTAAGCTTTATTTCAACCTAGAAGCGCAAGTATTCGAAGAGCTTCTGATGGAAGTGTATGCCTTGGACACAGATCCGGTCTTCTCACAGAGAGGGGACGGTGACCTAAGACCAATCGAACCTGAGATCCCGATGATGAAAATCTACGATTCAACAACGAAAAAAAAATCAAGGGTCTCACATACTATGCCTCAAAGAACAAGAAGTTGCCTAGAGATGACAATAACCAAAAAGATTGCTCTGAAGAAACGTTACAACGAGGTTTATTGAGTATCCTACGGTTGGATTTTTAATAAAATGCACACCAAATCATTTGATTTACTTTTTAAATTAGAATAAATGCCTCTGAGATGAAAGGATGCGAAGAGGATGGCGGCGACATTTTTCATTTGCACGTACATGTAACGGAACCAGGCGTTAGAGTTTTCCTTCTCTTCTCTTCCCCCCAATGATCGTAATGCTACACACATTAGATGTGAAATACACATCTCTTAATTGCCATAAAAAGTAAATCGGTCTGACATCAAGAGTTAAATCATGAAAAATTAATAAGAAGGGGTGCTCAAACACCTGTGAACTGGATAACTGCTTTCCAACTGAGGAAATAACAGGACAGCAAAGTGGGTCATACTTATGAAGATATAAAAACCAGTCTCCGCCCTTTCCTTTTGTAATTTTCGAGTTACGAGCCAAGCGTAGCTCTCACTTTCACGCCCTTCGAATCTGAGCATAAACAGCCATTAAAGTTTTTTTTGCTTCGTTTACGTGTAATCGAAACTTTCGGTAAGTAGGTCACCCCTGATTGCTATTGTAAAAGTACAGGCATTATTACCCAACATATAATTATTTTGTATTGTTGTAATAAATAAGCTGTCATAATTATGGAGCGCTAATATGTAAATTGTGTTGCTGAAGTTTCTCAGTGTTACAGAGATCCCAAATCTCTTGAAGAATGAAAACATCGTGTAGCTTCATCCAGATGATTAACCAGTTATAATTCACAGAGATCAACTCCGTATGATCAGGGATTTGCAATGAGCAAAAGGATTCTCACAAGCTTCGAAAACATGCAAGCCCATTCGAACTCGGAGAAAAAAATAATTGCTTAACAAAACGTCAGGACATCGTATACAGAGCGGAAAAGCTGGATGGACTGAAATACTTATTCAGTATGACTAGAGATTAGTAATGAGTAATAGGATTTTCACAAGCTTCGAAAGTTTGCAAGCCCAAGGAAACTCGGAGAAAAAAATACTTGCTTACAAAACGTCAGGACATCGTATACAGGGCGGAAATACTAGACAGACATAAATAAAAGTATAGAAGTATAGTGTTGCAGTCGTCATTTTTGGCGGTAACGTCATCAACGCCATATGAAATAAGTCAACAGATCGAGTCTCCGTACCATGGGCGCAGACTAATTTTCAGCGCATCTGCTACTCTCTTCAGTGCACATGAAGTGGGTAACAGGGGAGCGCTGTTTTTATTCTCTTCTTGGAAATATTCTAATAAATTTAGCACGAGATGTCGGCCTTCTGCATTGATCGTATTTCCGGCCATTGTACAATTTTATATTGAAGATTGATAACAGCACAACTCAAATTGTACGCCGATGTCAAGTAAGTTGTCACTCTCACAAATATGATTGAAGGGCACACGTAACGACAAGAGCCTTTAATGCAGTAATATATAATAGATGCCACTATAGGTCTAGACAAACCTGTCCTCTCAGTAAGACCTATAGTAGTATCTATTGTCCTCTGTCCTCATTGATATCGAAAATATTAAAGTCGGCGCATAGTGATAATGATTAATTACTACATTAAAGACTGTTTTGATATCTCTCTCCAGTTCAACAGGTTACAAATACCACCTGATTACCTTATTGCCAGTCTTGATGTGGTGTCGTTATTCAGCAATATCTATCTGGATGCATACATTAGAACTATCAATAGACATTGGGATGAGATAAGTCAACATTGTAACATAACTCTTGAATCATTCACGAGCATCATAACATTCCTTTTACATAAAAACTATTTCTCGTTCAACAACAAAGAATATTCTCAGACACATGCTTCAAAATGGCCTTGCAAGAAACACGGCTATCATAAAACATTTGTTTAGCTTAAAACTAACGTTGTGATCAGAATATCTGCTTATATTTAAACTACATATAAATTGAAAATTGATATAAAATACCCATTAAATACGTTCGAAAACATATTCTCATAAAAATACTCAATGAAGATTGAACGCTATCATAAACCTAGAAATGTATGTGTTAAAACATTTACAAAATAATTTTAATCAACAACTTCTGTGATTCTGATTTGGAAACAACTCAAACAGTCCACAATGGTCTTCTTATATTACGTATATGCCAAAATCTTCCAAATGACGACAGAAACCTACCATAAAAAAAGAAAATAATAGTTTATTTACTTGAACGCGTACGTTTTGTTGTGAGCTAGGATTATAATTTTAACGTCGACGATCAATGTCAACAATGCGAGAGACGCAATTAACAAAATAACGTCGCGAGGGACTCGCCGCCGCGTCTGCATGCTTGAGCTCAATGGATGTAATGTAATGAATTTGTCATCGCATGGCAAATGCTAGTTTTTAATAATTGGCATTCCAAAGAGCATGACCTTGTATGTTCCACTCACCTTACTTAATAACTGGGATCTGTGATATAAGTACTGCTCCTGAGATAACAAACTTTCTCCAAAGATGGCTATCACCGATATTAACTCCTCAAACATGAATTAATCTATCACTACTACCATCTGTCCAAGTAATTAAGATTCACCATCTTTAAGATGCCGTCACCCGATATCCGACGTCTTTCAGATCTTACCTGCACAAAGCCATCATTGTTGCCGCTCTAGATTCCTTATCACGAATTGAAGATCTGTTGAGCACTTCAAAGGGCCAGTTTGGTATCTGTCTACATCTGCTGATGGAGATCTTATCTTTTCCTTTCATCTGTATGTGCCCACAACGGGACAGTATTGTCGAGTACAGTATATGACGAAATACTAGTATAATGTACCCTAACGATTTCATTCAATTGACGCGATTGTATTCGAAATTTAAGAAAAAGAATGGAGTCTAAGTAATTAATCACTCTTTGAATATCATCGTTGATATGTTACTAAAATATCGTCCTTGTCAAATTCTAGAATTTTTTTATATCCAAGAATTTTTCTGTCTACATTTAACTGACGAATAACTTGCAACATGGAACAATATAAAACATACAAAATTTAGATATTTTGAAAAAATATTTGTCAACGCTAAAAACTATCAAAAATTTGGGAAACATAGAAAAGGGGCAAGTCGGAAACTTTTCCTTTGTTTTCTGTTCATAACTCCTCCGATGCTGTAACTACGTTTAAATATGAGTAGTATGACTCCACATCATATCCTTCTCCAGTTTCATTAAACTCGTTACTGAGATTATGCGGTGAGAAGAACGCCGATAGACAAGTAGACATGCCAACTGACAGTCCGTTCGACCGACGGAAAAATAATAAAGATTTTCGTGACGTAAACGTGGAAACACTTGTTAATTGAAATTCGAAATTGTTCGACCGATCATCAAAAAATGTTTCGACTACACCGAAAAGCTCAGAAAGCAAAGCATCGATGCGGAAACGAATCGTGAATAATTACATTCTCTGGTTTTTCTAATAGTTCAGCAACAAATCATCCAAGCTCAATCTTGTTGTTTTGAGAATCTCATCTACGTTAGATATGTACTCATAACTAGTTTCAATATGTCACTGTAGATCACTCTGTATATCTACTCATATTTTACCAACCTCTCTTCATCTCTAACGTTTATTTTCAGAACTGGGCGTTCCTCTAAGTGATTGTACTTATAGCATTTAACAAGATAATTCAATCTTCACGAGTAATTAAGATACGACATCTTGAAGATATCGTCACCCGATACTGCATGTTAACAACACAAAGAGATCAAGACAACCTCTTATCACTCATCAAAAATCTGTCGGCATTCAAAGGCCGAAAGTGTATATCTGAGAAACATCTGCTGATGTAGATCATAATCTTTCAGATTTCGGGGTTAAATGGAAATCTTATCGATCCGTCTCATCTATACGGGACCCTAAAAAGGGACATTATTGTGCCTGCCCGGTACAAGGCTGAATGTAAAGCCACTGCAGCTAACCAAACATTGGCCTGTCTTTTAAAAACATTGAATAGATTTTGGCTCGGGCTGGCCTTTGTCAAGACTTCAAGATACAATCTCTCAACAATTTATACTATTTTATTTTTAGGGTTTTGTATTGGTGGCCATCTAGACGTGAAGAAATTATTTCTTTATAGTAATATAACACATTCTGTTCGGGGGTGATGTACACATAAAATGATGCCTTTAGGGGGGTAGCCTACGGTATTCTTACATTTTCAATACGCGCACGGTTCGGTGGACAAGGCTTAAGGATTTATAGTATTTTTACAATTGCCGTGCCATTATGCCTTTTGAATTTGCAAATTCACGGGTATGTGGATTCGTTGAAATGATTCTGGATTTTGTACTTTTTGGGTAGTTATACTCACGATTTGGGACTTATTTGAGGGTGTAAATATTTAATAGAGTGTCGCTAGGTGTTTTGTGTACATATACATGCAGTTCGTAGAATATACGGGGTGGAGGTATATATAGGGTGGTACAAATTATTTTTTTATGGGGGGTGATGCTAGATTCGGAATTCATAGCTTCAATATCGCGACAATACCGTCAGCAGTTCCTCAGTGTGCAATTTTGGGCTCTGTGCTATTTTTAGCATACACCTCTCATGTGCAGAAAACTGTCGAGAGTTCAGAATTTGCTTAAGTCAAGCAAAATGAATAACAATTTCGCTATTAATTCTGTTATTGCTTTGCTCTAATCAGATCTTTTGGTTATTTTAGTAAAATAAATATTATTATTGCTGGAGATTATGATGGTATATATTACAATCATCAAAACAAAATTCTATGTAGATTACCTAATACACACCTTGGACTACAAACAAGTTCAAAAAATGGCTGACAAACTACAGTGGATACCTTACTACATCCTGATTTATATGAGATATCTGTAGTTACTTAAATTTTAAGAATGACATATATAAGAAATGTGTCATCTAATGAAAAAATCGGTAAATTGAGATTAGTTATATATTTACAGCCCTGATCACCGCTTCAGGCCAGTTTTCACGCTCATGTAATTTGTTTAAGTTGTCTTGTAAGTACAAGCCTGTTTGAGCAAGTGAAGCGCTATGTAAAAACGAAAATAGCACACTTGCGTTATCCGAAATGATGGGTCTATATACAGTCTAAACAGTCTATAATTTGCATGAGCTTGGCGCGAATCCATGTACGCGTAAATCGCGTTCCAGCATACGTCATGCCACGCGCCCACGCAATAGAAGGTTTATACCCTTCGATAATGTTGAAAAAAGAAAGAGTTCCTTATAGCACTACTCTACAACTCGTTCCCTCGTCTTTGGAAATACAAAGACTTAAGCTAATATTTGAGTAAGTGGAACTGTTTTCAGTCCAACATTTCTGTGGTCTTTCTGAACTTTTCTTTTCTTAAAACTTTTAATATTTTAATTAAACATGTGTATTCCAGCTATTACTCGTCAAGGTCTATCATTGAAGTTCTGTTCACATACGCTACACTCGTGTCTAAACTAAAACAATGGAATTTGTGTATTTTAAATTGGACATTAAAATAGTTACTCCCGTTTAGT